ACAGCTGGTTTTCTTGCAGCAAATGATTCAGAAAGGGCGGACTTGAGTTCATCAGGCGTCCCAACTATATAACCTTTGCCTCCAAAAGCTCCAATTAGAGTATGATAAGCTGCACCTGGGACAAAAGAAGTAGGTGCTGGATCATCTTTGTGAGGCCCTGTAATTTCTTCAGGGTTCCTCCGGTCGCCACCATAAACACCACCATTATTGAAAACTATCACAACCACGGGCAACTGATACCGTACCAATGTCTGCATAATCAGAAAAAGCACACAACATTTACATTTTGACACATTATACAAAACATCAATTAAGAAATTCAACGGGCCACTAGTATGTGCAGACTGGCAATGCATAAAGGGGTAACAACTATAGAAATAATACATCTCTTATATTAACTGGTCTGTAGAGGAATTCTATCCAACATGAACATCCAAACGAAAAAGCAATTTTATGCAGAACACTAAATCATAACCAAATTAATAGCTTTATCACTCCTGTCTCAAACTATCAAAGCTATCATAGCCATACTACTAAAATAAGCTCAAAAACAGCTAAGAGGAAGAGCTCAAATCACTAGATGTAGCAACTTATTTAATCAACCACAAGCTCTTGAATTGTAATCACACAATATAAAACATCATGAAAAGAATTTTTGATATAACAAAGTCTTTTAGCTAACAGAAAAAACAAACCAAACCGGCACTAAAACCATTTTCACTTCTATCCTTGTTAAGAAAAGAGGCATTAGCAATCCTTCGCCAAGGACATAATTTCACGAAGCTATCTCCATATTGGTCCCAGTATAGACAGTGGAGTGCAAATATATTAATTTTTCATTGCTTAATTATCCGTTAGATTACATTACAAGATCAGATGGCAAAAATTACCTGTTTATAAATGGCTATGTTCGTGTGAATAAATAAAGAATATGCTGTGTCAAGTCATCAGGTCAAACTACCAACATATTTACACTGAATGTTTGACTTTACTTCTATAATAATCCCATATCAACGACTGAGGGTTAAGCACCTTGTTCACTAAACATTGTTAAAGCAGGAACTATCAAGAACATTGTCATGCATATAGAAGAAACACAATTCATACGCAAGTTTATCATTTATGTGTAAGATCGCCATACCTCAACTTCAATAGCGCTGAACGTGAATCCAGAGTCACCTTCAACAGCAACCACAAGTCGATCAGGTGAAGCCACTGCAGCTGCAATGCAATATCCTAAACCAACCCCCATTGTTCCCCAAGTCCCTGCATCCAGCCTAGTCCTTGGCTCCGTTTGAACCAAAACAGCTCTACCCACATCCATAGTATTCGCCCCTTCGGAAACCAATACCGGCGCAGGGCTCCCCGCCTCCAAAATTGCATCCCTGATAATCCTCATAGGTGTCATAAAATTAAAAGGGACAACATCCTTCGACAACTGAGCCTCCATTCTGGACACGTTGTCCTTAACTTTCTTTGAAATAGCCTCAACCCATGGATGATTCTTCCCCAAACAAAAAGGGTCATCCTTAATCTCCTTATTAATCAATTCCAACACCTTTTTCGCATCTCCAACCAAACCCAGATACGGTTTTCTTAATTGAATCTCCTCCTCACTAATATCCACCAAAATGAACTTCACATCCTTGGACCACTTTGGCGGCTCCCCGAAATGCAACAACCAATTAAGCCTAGCACCAACAACCACCGCAACGTCACATTGACCAATCGCTAACGACCTCGCTGCGCTCGCAGCAAGCTCATGCGTATCAGGCAACAACCCTTTACCCATTGGTGTGGGCAAAAATGGAATCCCAGTAGTCTCGACGAACTTCTTCAATTCACCCTCGGCTCGCGCATAAGCTGCTCCTTTCCCAAACACAATCAATGGTTTCTTTGCCTCTCTTAGAAGAGAAACAGCTTGCTCAATCTCAGAAGTTTTCGGAGTAAGCCCAATTGATACCTCTGATTTATGACTCTCAGCGGATTTAAGTAACTCTTCCACTTCAGATTCTGATATAGTCTGATGTAATACATCAGTGGGTAAATCCAGATAACACCCACCGGGCCGACCCGACACAGCCCGATCAAGCACCTGAGCAACACAATTAGGTATATCCTTTATGTCTTTCGCTTTCACAGCGAATTTCGAAAAGGGTTTCACAGCTTCAATTTGATCGAGTTCTTGAAAATCACCGCGGCCAAAGTCTTTCTGATCGCATGAGCCGGAGATCATGACCATGGGCCACGTGTTGACCATGGCATTCGAAAGGCCGGCCAACCCGTGGACGCAACCTGGGCCGGAGACGGTTAAGAGTAGCCCGGGTTTGCCCGTGAGGTAGCCGTAGGCGGAGGCGGCGTAACCCGCGGACTGCTCGTTGTGGACGGCGATGAAACGGATGCCGAGGGCGACGGCGCGGTTGGCGAGGGAAGTTACTGGAATACCCACCACGCCGAACATATGAGTGACGCCGAAGTGAGCGAAGGATTTGGCGGCAACGACGTTGCCGTCGATTTGGGCATTTCGGGGATTTACTGCGTCTGCCATTTTAAATCGTGCATGTAAACTGGGAATATTTGGTAAGGTACACCGTATCTATAGGTAACAGTATAAATGACAATTGTGCAGTGTTCACCCTGATAGTTGCTACTTGCTAGTGGAAAGGTGTATGTGATGTGCTGTGCTGGAGTGGTGGGCTGGTTGCCTCTTAAATTGAATTTGTTAATGGCCAAATAAATACACATACCCAAGGTTTGGAGAAACGACAGACTGGTACCCAAAAGATTTCAAAAAGACAAATTGGTACCTTTTGTTAATGAAAAGACTAAAATACCCTTAAAATAATATTAGTCTATTTTTTTAATTACGTTTAAACCCCTTAAGTTTATTAATTTCATCAAATACCCCTAGAAAAGGTTTAAAAATTAACAAAAATACCCCCACCCACCCATACTTGCCAGATTCCGGGGGCCACCGCATGTCGTATATCCCCACGTGTTATATAGTCCGTCAACATTTCTAAAAATATCCATTTTTGTTTGGTTAATTCATACTGGTCTCCTGAGGTTTGGAAAACTATCAATCGAATCCAACTACTTCTGTCACGTCTCGATGTTTGCCCCAATCTCTACTATTCATGTTTTAAACATTGCATTTCCAGCATGCGGTTGTGGTTCTGACTTCTGCCATTGATTTATGGGGGGAACGACTTACACATATCCAAAGTTTGCTGTAAAGACTAAATGGTACCCAAAAGGTTTGGAAATGACAAACACTCACTTTCTGTCGTGTTTTATTAGGAATTTTCATCTGCTAAAAGACAAAAATGGTGAAAAGACTGGAATACCCATCAATCTTCATTCCCAACACGAGCCAACAAGGGTCAATGTCACTGTTTATCACCGAACTTCATAGAAAAATACTAAATCTGATCAAAAAATCGATCGATGACGCACGAGGGTTATGCAAACGGGATTGGGGTGAGAATGAAATTACTATACTGTCTTTTAACAGATAGAAATCCCTAACAGAATATGACAGAAAATATTTGTTTGATATTTTCAAACCTTTTGGGTATCAATATGTTTTTATGTCAAACTTTGGGTAAATGGAAGTCCTTCAGCCTTGATTTATGCCATAATTTCATGAAGATGTCCATTCGACAAGATTGCAACAATATAGCCACATTATTATTTAACAAATAGTAACTCAAAAAGCTGTGATAGGGACAGTTTTGGGATAAAGTCAAAGTAGGGGTCTATAAGTTATTTTGTATGTAATTGTGTTACTTTTATAAAGTAAATACTTGTTAGTAGCACATTGATATTGATAGTTGGATGATATTAAATATTAATGATTTATTATTTATTATTTTGGTATGTTAAGAAAGAAATTGAAAGTGGACTTTGTATTATAAAGGGGGGATAAGAATTTGACAGCCAACGTTTTAAAAGGAAAAATAAAATAAAATTCCGTTTTTCAGTTTTAACACACAACCAGTAATAAGTGGGGGGTGTGTGTGTGTGGGGACAATGAGAAATGCGCTGTCATGTGCAACTAATTTTCCTTTCTTTGATGATATGGAATTAATTGTTACATTAATCCCTATCAATAAGTTAATAGATATATTTCATTATATCATTGATTCAAGACACGATGATCTAACGGTTAGTAACCCCTTGGTAATGTTGCTGGGTGAGGTAAGGTATTCCTATTTTTTTACCATGAAAATGTTACTTGGAGCAGGTGGTATGAGGCCCACTAGATGAAGGGAAATTGACCAACCAATAATGGTGCATTGGGCCTGAGGTGGGGGAAGCAAAATTTGATTTTTAATTGACTTCACATCCAGCCACCAATTCACCATTAGTTGACACATAGGCTATGATTTGTTTAAAATTTACAAATCAATAAAGATAGCCTCATAAATATCTACACTCTCACAATCTGGATGTGACAGCTTACAATTGATTAGGTAGAAAAATTCATTAGAAATCAATGACGAGTTACTACGTCAAGATTGTGAGATTTGGGTATAAGTATAATAGAACTGTCACGTCAAGATTGTGAGATTTGGTTATAAGTATAATAGAGCTGTCACGTCAAGATTGTGAGAAAAAGTTTGTAAAATTTAATTGTAAGTATAATATTATACATTGCAAATACAATAACGGTTCGGAGGAGACTTTTATCACTACAATTATTTTTAAGTCAATTCTACACTTACAATCCAATCTTATAAATATCATTTCATAACCCCGACGTGATAACTCGTATTGGATTTCAATAAATTTTTCTGTTTGACTCATTGTGAGCTACCTCGTCCGGATTGTGAGAGAGAGTTTGTGTGTCAATCTTTATTGGTATTTTTATTCTAATAAAAAAAAAAAAAAAGTTTCAGCTTTTTCCTAAGAAAGTCCATATGGGCCTTAGTTGGCCCACTCAATCAATAATCATCACATTTTAGAGCCCAAGTCCATAGACAAAGTCCACAAACAAACCGAAAGTCTTCTCTCTTTCGCAGCTCTTTAACGGTAAACCCCAAACCCCTCTCTTCTCGCCTTCTCTCTGTCTGCGCCGTCGTCGTCGATTTTGTTCTCCATTTGCGTAAGTTTTCAATTTCTTAATCACATACTTTATGCGTTTTTCCTTTTGTTTATTTTATTCATTTTGAATGCAAAAGTCGAAAGAGCTGAAGCTGTGTAAGATAATATGATTGAAACGAGTCGATTTTAGAGCTGTCACGCTGCCTTTGTTTAAATTCTTATGTTTATTACTGGTACATTGTTTTAACTTAATTTTAATTTTTATTATAAGTTGTTTCAATTTTCGCGGATTAATTACTTTTTGTTTTGGTGGCTTTCATTACTTAGAAAGTGCGAGTGATAATATGAATTCCTTGCGTTATGTAGACTCTAATAAAGCTGTATACTTTGGTCACTGTCCTTAGTTTATAATTTTACAAGTGTTTGGAGCTTTTAACTGAAATAATCGGGCACATTTTCTTTTTCTGTTTGTGCAGTTGGACCAAAAGTTCATTGAAATGTGAATTCTCCCTATCCAATCTTCTTTTGAATATTTCATATAAGAAATGAACTTCAGTAATTTTAGTGGAGTGCTGTTCCACTCTTTCTGTAATTTCTGTTTCTGATTAATAAAGTGTCTTGTTGAGCAAAAATAAGAACTTGATGATCGTGCAAGGACTAAGTTAGAAATCATTATTAACTAAAAAAAAAAAAAAAAAAACCCTAATTAACTGGGTCTGGGTGGAGACATGAAATAGACTGCTTGTATGCCTCCTACTTTTCAAAGGAATTTTTCTTATTTTGCTTTTTTTTTTTTTTTTTTCCTCATAATATGGTTTCTAGAGTTGTTTATGTTAGTCAAATCCAGTCCAAAGGTTTCACCTTAAAACTAGAGAAGCGATCATGATATTAGTTGGCATGTCGTATACAAAGCTTAACTGTTGTGAGACATAACAGTCCTCTATAGTCACATTGCTGGGTACTCTATACTAATTAAAGAGTTTCATACAATTTTATGAGTGAGGGTTGATGCCATGCTAATGTTTGATATTCTCATATGGTGGGAATTCATCTGTGGCTGGTGACAATTTTTTGTACTTAAATTGCACATGGTGTTGTTTGGTTATGTTGATATTGTTTTAATTATGCACATGGTGCATATAATTTAATCCCAAAAATTTTAAACGATGTACTTTTTGCGCTCTAAATTTATTTCCTGTTTCTATTCATGCAGTAAATTTAGAAGACTAGAAATGATAAAGAGACGGTTCTACAGGCTAGAACATGCTGATACTAATGATGCTGCAGATTCATCTTCATCCTCAGACTCAGATTCAGAACTAGAAGGACAAGCCACAGAAGAGTCAGAAGATGATGCAGTTGCAGAAGTGAATGGAAATGATGAATCTTGTTCAACTTCTTCTGGTTTGTTCTTTTATCTATATTCTCTCTTTCTTCGAATATTAGTTAATGTTTTCTTCAATATCTATTTGCCTTAGTGTAATCTCCTGTAGTTGATTTATGAATAGGGTGACTTGAAATTTTTATTTGATCTGCAAATGTCTTTTCTGCCTTCTTATTTCATTGGAGTAGGATTATGTTAACAATATTTTGAGATCTTGTTTTAGCTTTTCAAATTGTACTATGTTCTGTTTTTACATACATTTAGGAATCAAAGTTGTTTATCCTGTACCGATCTTTATGTACAACTATTATTGAATAGTGAAGTCCTGATCCATTGTCCTCCTATTACATTTTTTAATTCTAGATTTACTTTCTGAATTTGGGTTGGAGGGATTGGAGATCAGTGAAAGTTTCTGTATTTTAATCACATTAGAACTTTTCAACAAGAAAATTGATTTAGCGTTTTGTTTTCCCGTTTCATTTTTAACATTACAGGATATGAGCGTGAGGATAGCTCAGCTGATGAGATTAATGTTGATTCATCAGGTAAGATGTGTTTTTACCATATGTAATACAGAAAGCATGTTATCTTGTTATTTAGATAAGTGCATGTTGGACAATAATTGCTGATTCTTGTTACTGTGGTTTTTGAAGTATCAAACAGCTGAAGGTATATATTGAATTTTGTTTCAGACCATTAAAAGTTGAGAATATTGTTCTCTGTTTTGGTAGGTATATTTCATGGTCTGATGGTTGACATTAGAATTATTACTAGTTGGATAACTCAGGAAAGACAAAATTTATTATCTTTTCTGGAGGTTCTACCAATAGGAGTCTAAGGTTCAAACAATTTTATGGTAGATCTTTGATTTAGTAAGGATGTACCAGTAATGGAATTGTATACTTTCAGAAGTCTTGCCCTAACTTTGGTAATTATTGCTTTTTTTTTTTTAAAAAAAAATTATAGTGGTTCTTGTTCAATAATGTTACTTCAGTCTTTGTTCAATTGCTCGAGTCTATTAAATATCTTGATGGTTTATCCTCAAATGCATGCATTCACTCATTCATTGTAGAAATGCTCTTCCTTTTTCTTTTTCTTCTTCTGTTTCTGTGATGTTTGACAGCATAGTGATGGGACAGGTGCTCTAAATGAAGATGATGCCGAAATTGGTAATGATGAAGAAATCTTTGTAGATAATCAGCTTTCAAGTAAACAAGGTGCTGAAGTGACAAAGTCTAACACTATAGCTGAAAAGGCATCAATGGCAGCTGGTGTTCCAGACTGTTTACTGCAGATAAAATCGGTTTTTAGATGCAGGATTTGCCCAAGAATTATCTGTTTAACTGAGGAAACCTTGAGGGCTCATCTCAATTCCAAGGTATGGCATGTCTTGTTGGGACAATATTTAAATCGAAAAGCTAGCATCATATTATTGCATCAAAATGATAATAAAAATATATAATTTATACATCTGGCTTATTAATGCATTTCTTTCTATGAGGTCAGTTTTGTAAGACATTGAACTTTGAATTTTTTTGAAGTATTTGTGAAAGATTCAAAATCATTATGAATAAAAAAATTCTATTTAAGTTGTTTTTAATACCGTAACTTTTTTTATTAAGAATATAAACACAAATTATTAGTATTATTATTCTATAGACAGGAGAAAATAATCCTATAGTATTGGAACTACATTTGTTCCCTATGTTTCCATTTCATGTAGTGGAGCTGAGAAGTAGATACGTGCACCAATTTTCTGTATAATTTCTGCTCACCTCCAAATTGATTTAGACGGAAGAATCACATTTTGGTATTTGGTTTAATATGGGCCTACCAGTAGTCACCTAATGAAATGTATTTTATTGTTCTAGAGGCATGCTCGATCTGATAAATTACTGAAGGAACACAGGTTGAAGTCTATACTCAATGATGATGGTGAAATTGAGAACCAGGAGACAGCTGGAGAGTTGCATGCTCGAATTGTGGCTCTTGCAGAGGTTTTATTTATTTTTCTTATTACTTATTTATTTATCTATTTTTAATTTGGGAGTCCTAACCAACATAAGGATTGATTGAATGTTCATGTTGGCTAACAACTAATTCATTTCTTTGTACCAGAACACTGAAAAAAACAAAAACAAAAACAAAAGACGACACCGAAAGAGGAATTTGTCAAGCAAGGAGGTAATTAGAACAATCCATTTTCATAATTACATGTATGTAGGGGGTTTCCATATGCAACTGTTAAAATTCTTATGCCTGCTGCAGAATACAAATGAAAAATCAATCACTAAGAAGGCAAAGCAATTGATTGAGAGCCCAGCCAAGAAAAGGCGTAAAGGCGAGAACTGAAGTGTGCAATCAACACTTACTGCAGGGGATAAATTGGCACCAAGGAATTAAATGAAGTGGTTTCCAGATAGTTTCTGCCGAAATACTAAAATTTGGTATCCTAATTCCTATGAGGCCTTAAGTCTTGCTGTATAAAGTGCAAAGCAGTCCCTTAAAATTGTTTGCGATGTTATTCTTGTTTTGAGCTTGAGTGTCAGTTTGTTGGATCAGGAGCTGTATCATGCTCCGAACAATTTTGGTTTTAACCCAGACATCAATTTTTTTTTCTTTTTTTTTTTAATTCCAATCTTATAACTGAGTATTAAAGAGACATGAGGGCATTTTGAAGAGAAAGAAAGGAAATTTTCTAGCTGCCGGATCAAACTTGATTGTTATTCTTGTTTTGTGTCGTTCCTTGTTGAACCTTAAGCCATGTTTTAAAACCCAGCTTGGCTCGGCTAGTTTAACCGATTCAATCGGGATCTAGAAGCTTCAACAGGTCGAGTTTATATTTTTCTTATCCACCTAAAACCCTAGGATTTGGGAGGATAATCAGCAAACAATTGATGGCTGGGATGTTAGGACTTTTAAAGAGAAAGTGTTAGTTGAATGCAATGGTGGTGGCAGTGTTGATTTTCGATGAGTAAATCGACCGGAAATCGAACAAAACTGGTAACGGCAACAACTGACTTTTGCCGACGATTGGCGAGGCTAACAGGGGTGGAGTGAGGTGGGTTTTGGTCGAGAGGAAAAGGAGAGTAATTTCTGGGTAATGGGGTGGGTTGTCAACATCAGCGTCGATGAGATCTGGCCTGGAATGTCGACGCCAACGTCGGTGAGATTTGGTCAAAATCAAACTTATTTCGAGCAGATATTTGGTATATTTTAAGGGGAATGGGTTCAAGGGACAATTGGGGTTGCATTTAGGGTGTCGTTGTCATCAACCAGTCACCGACTGATTTGTATTTAGAGTGTTTTTGTTAAATTTCAAACCTATAAGGACTTAACAAATTTTTAGGGGTGTATTTATTGAATTTTAGAATTCTTATCAATCGGTTTAACTACCGGTCAACTCGAGACCCGACAACTTTGTCGGGTTTCACCCTGGATTGGGTTTTAAAACATTAAACTTAAATATTGGTTATACAAGTAGTTGTAAATAGAAAATTACAACGTACTTTGCCCATACTTCACTTTAAGTCTCAAGAGTAAACAGAATTTGTCGAAATAATAATGGCCCATCCCTGTAAATTAATATAGAAACAGAAAAAAAAAAAAAATTGTTAGTACAAAATTATCTTGAAACAGCAATGAGACCGAAAATATTAGCCTCCATTAGTACAGACTGAAAATTCAATTTAGAATGCAAAAATTAACCAACAAAGGAAAAGACTGGATTGACAACAGAATCAGCCTCATTCAGCTCATTCATCGAACATCACTTACAACATTTCAATCTGGTTGTCGAAAAAATCAAAGCGTTATTCTGTTGGTAAGGTGAAGTTTCTAACCTTAAATTAAAGAATTGGAAGGTCAGAAAATAGATTGGTCCTGTAATTGCTAAATTCAAGATTCCTGATTGTTGGAAGGATGATCAGGTGAGGCAGATGATTTTTCTTCCTTTTGATCGGTTTCATCAGGGTGGTCGGGAGGAGGGGGTTCCTCTGCTCTTTCACCATCTTCAGGATGAAAATTGATGGGGAACTTTGTTACCCTGGGTTTATCAGATAATATATTTCTTTGGACCTTATCAATCATAACCTTTGGGGGAGGCTCCTCTTTCAGCTGCTCATCCTCGTAATCATTGTTTACATAGTAGCCCACTCGGACAAATTCCTGGCCAAGGTATGAGCACGTCAACAGGAGCACAGTGACACCAATAATATCTTCTTCTCGTATCTTCGATGGGTCTGGAGGATCAGCCTGCAATGTGTCCAACCAAGGGTACAATATGAGATTCATTAGTATATCAAACAAATCTGATTAACAAAACTGCAGCCAGGATTCAGTTGAAATTGCCTGTAATACAAAACGGTAGTTTCCAACATTCACAGGTCCTACTAGGACACTTTCCAAATGCTGATCATAAGTTTCATCCTCAGCAGATCCCACATAAATAAGTTTCCATTCCAAATCTGCATGAACAGCATAATCAATAGTGAAAATCTAGAAAGACATTTGCTAAGTCATGAAGAGTAACAAAGAACTGATTTGATAGAATTACGATAATATGTCCTTACACTGTCAGACAGTAAGTGAAAGAAACGTTAGGAAGTTGAAGAACCCAACTAGCAGTGTAAAATTGAAATGAAACAATAAACTGTGAGGATAGGAATAATAAAAATAACGGATACAAGATTTACGTGATAAAACCCTCAATTGATTATGAGAGAAACATCCACTGGGCAAAGACTAGAAGGATTTTAAGACCATAAAAGATTTACAACAACCTCTTTCTAAGATTAGGAGAGCATAAGAACACTTTCTCTCACAAATAAAGAAAGACATTGTGGAAGAGCATGATTACTAACTTGGTAAATTATGTATGGGTTTGTGTTGTGATGAATTTGGAGAAATGAACCATGGTATTTATGGGAACCATAACCTCCAAATTAATAGTAATTTTACTCCATTCATATTACTAAGAACAAAGATCACAACCAATTAATGTTTTCACATAACTTAATCACCATTTATTTGCCACCCCTAAGTTGTCTAACCCACCAATTTTTCAACTCAAAATTAATTACCATTTGTACTTGTTCTTACTGTCCAAATCTGTCAAATTAAGGCTACAAGTATGCAAATCATGTAAAAGTGGCTTCATTGGTACAACATTCTCTCACTTGAAGTCATCTTTCACAATTCTTCTCTCCTTCCAATCTTTGCTCAACATGCTACTTAAGTCTTTATCAAACCATAAAAAGACCTACACCAAATGAACTTACTAGTACTAATAGGTTTAGACGTTTAGTCATGACATTTGCTAGGTTGTCTTTGGTGTGAATCTTTTGCATATCGAGACTTTCTTCATCCACTACTTAACGAACAAAGCGATATTGAACTCCTATGTGTTTGGTTCTAAAGTGAAACACCAAATTCTTTGTAATATGTGGGGCACTTTGATTGTCACAATACAAGATAGTTTTATTGTAGCGTAAAAGATGACTGTAAGTGGGAGAATGTTGTAGTGTGAAGCTAATTTCAATTTTCACATGGCTTGCATACTTGTAGTCATAATCTTTGACACAAAGATTTGGACAACAAGAACAAGTAGAAAAGTAACTAATTTTGAGTTGAAAAATTAGTAGACAAGGTAACAAAAGGGTGGCAAATAGATAGTGACCAAGTTATGAAAACATTAATCAGTTGTAACATGTTACCTTAGTAATGTGAATAGAGTAAAGTAACTATTGAATTGGAGGTCAGGATTTGCCATAAATAGAATTTCTCCAAACCCATCACGCTATCACAACACAAACACATATACTAAACACCAAGTGAGTAATCATACTCTCTCAAAGTGTCTTCCCTCATTTATGAGAGAAAGTGTTTTTGTGCTCTCCTAATCTTAGAGATAGATTGTGATAAATATTTTATGGTCTTGATAAATCCTTCTAGTCTATGCTAGACCAGGCAAAACGGGTTGGAACCCCCGGGTTGACCCATACCCGAGTAAATTATACAGGTTTGTATAATTAGACCCCTTTTTTTAAACTCGTACCCGACCCTGCCCGTTTTGTAAACGGGTAGACCGAGTACACCGATGGGTGACCACGGGTACCTGTTTTTAATTTAAAGAAAAAACCCAAATTGGCATTCTTTGTCTTTGTCTTTCTCAGCGTGTGAGCTAAAGCCTAAAACACTTTTTCTTTGCCTTCTCTCTCTCTCCAAAATTAACTCCTCTTCTCTTGTTCATTTCATAGTCCGCCTCTTTCCTATCAAAATCATTCACAATCTCCATTCATTCCCCTTCCCTAACCTACTAATTTTTCTTCCCAAAGAGTTTTTCAACAACCCACTCTTCTTCTTTGCGACTAAGGGCCTATTGAGTATAATAGATCCAATTGATGGCGTAAAAAAAACCTGAATTCACCCAACCCTTCTCACTTCTGATTCATCAAGATAGGCTGTAGAGCGGCACATTTCCATTTCTTCAAATTGTTTTCACTTCATGTTTCTCAAGATTTCGGAGCTTTTAAGAATTTTTCTTTTTCGGGTTTGTTTTGTGTGGTTGAGTTATGGGAAGAATGAAAAACATTGTGTAATTTTGGAAACAAGTTTTCTTTTCTTTTTCTAAGGATTTGAGGTTGTTCTTTTTTGGGTATGTGCTTTCGGGTTTAGGTTTGGTTTGAAGAATGGTGGTAAAGATGATGAGGTGGCGGCCATGGCCATCTCTTGTGAGTTGTGATGAAGAAGTACGAGGTGAAATTGGTGGTACAGAGGATGGAGGGGTGGGATTTGGCGCATGAGGTTACAAAGAAGAAGGAAGAAGAAAGATTAGCGATTGAGATTCGTTGGAAGGGTCCTAAATTCGCCTTGAGTACTTTGAGAAGAAGGGTCAAAAGGAACTTCACCAAAGAAGCACGCACCCGCGGGTCCACCCGTACCCGTATAGGGTAAGGTACGAGTCTAAAATATTGGACCCGTTTAGATCGACCCGTACTCGTGGGACTTGCACCCATTTAGACTCGGACTGTACCCGGCCCACTCGCCTATTTTGCCAGGTCTAGTCTCTGCTCCGTGGATGTTTCCCTCATAATTAATTGAGGGTTTTACCCCATAAATCTTGTATCCGATATTTTGAATGTTATTATTCTCACACTTTGTTCTCTCATTTCAAATTTATGTTGCTAGTTGGGTTTATCAACTTTCTAACAAGAAATACATATTGTAAACACATCGCATAACAATTTTATGAAAGACTAAACAGCTTCAAGAATGTTGTTCAATTTCTACCACATTGGCTATTGGCAATATTTCAGTGACAGGCTCAACAATTATGAAACTCTTACAAACTTAATATCTGATGGGACCTGGATAATGAAGTTGTAGGAAAAGTGAAATAAGATAGCAAGTAGTGGATTGAGGGGATGTTGGCAGGAAACTTCCACGGGTTTAGGCTAGGACAAGTGGCGATTGGGGGTTGGGACAGCAAAGGAATTCAGTTAGGGACAGAGAGAGAGAGTTGGAGGATAAAAAGAGAGGGAGAGCAGATTAGGGCAAAGAAGAATATAGGGAAATTGGGAGGAGCTAACCCTCAAAGTTAGCAATTAGGGAAGAGCCGGCCCTCGAGGTCCAACACTATCTTTGTTTCTCTTTTTTGGTTTTCTTTGTTTCTTTTGGCTGTTGTTGGATGGTGCTTTGGCTGTTTATCATCTTTTATCTCTTTTGTTGATTATCAATACATATATATATAAATATCATTTTCTGGATATTTGGTTGCTGGTTGTGATTATTATTCCGGGTTTAATTGGCTGTTGTCTGTTAGTGTTAACTGTTTGGGTGATTTTTGGAGAGGTTCCCATCAAGTTGTTATCAGAGTTAGTCGATTGCGAAGTTATGGTTGGTACAAGATGGACAATGTCGAGAAAGACGTTGCTAGAGCATCGGAGACCGTAAATTCGATGAGGGAAATATTGATGGATATGCAGAATTGGATGCATAAAAAAGATGAGGAAGAAGAAGAGTGTAGAAGAAACTTAGCTGGGAATTCGAGCCGAGGCCGAGAAGGTCACACTGAAGAAGAACTTCACAGAGAAACTGGGGGCCAAGGAGGAACCCACAATGGAGGTCGTATTGAACATGAGCTTCACTGGGATATTGGAAACCAAGGTGGAGACGGATGGAACCAAGGCGAAGAAAGTTGGAACCTCCGTGACTGAGGTGGCCGGAAACTAGAGCTACCCATCTTTTTCTATGAAGACCCGTATGGATGGATTTTTTGTGTGGAATGGTATTTTGCCATTAACCATGTGGAGAAATATTTTCTTCTATTTCATAATGAGATGTACAATGAATTTATAGCACAAACAAAAAACTAATCTAGGAAGTAATCTAGGAAGTAAATTGTTACATTCCTATTATAATTCTATTTCCTATTCCTATTATAATTCTATTTCCTATATTACAATGAGAATAATTCTATTTCTTATTTTATATTTCAACAAACCATATCATCAATGAGCACAGGGTATCGGAGACAACTCTCTGTATGGAAGGTGAAGCTCTCCATTGGTATCAATGGACAGAATCAAGATCGACAGTGATAACTTGGTTGACATTCAAGGTAGCGTTGTTACAAAGGTTCGGTGGGACAAAAGAAGTTAGTTCGTTGGAGCTGTTGATGTCGACAAAACAGGGGGGTTCAGTGCTGGATTTTCGCCGACGGTTTGAGGAAATTGCTGCGTTGACGTCGAGGAAAGGAGAGGAAGTCTTGATGGCAACATTTTTGAATGGGTTGAAACCAGAGATTTGGGCCAAAATTAAACTCCAGCAACCTAAACTGTTGACCAAGCCCAATTCTTTAACCCAAGTTACTTGGATGGCCCAAAGAGTTGAGGAAAAAAACTTAGCATTGCAGGAGGCCTACTTGGGGTTGGGTCACTCAACAAAAATGGGAAATACCACCACTTGGCTGTGAAGTTATTCTAGTCTCTGCAGGCCTGAAGACCAGCCCAAAGCCCAATTCAATTTTGACCCACCCAAATCTAATAGCCAGATTAATACCCATTCCCAAAATCAGACTCATATTCGACAAAGCTTCACCAAGAATCACTTCAGGTCAAGGTCAACGCCCACGATCAACAATGGATCAACCCCTTTCTGCCAAATGATAGAAGACGAGGAAGAGTTAGGTAAAGAAGAAGAGGGCGGTGAAGGAATGGAGGAATGGGGTGGTGTCGGGTAAACAATCTTTATCTTCCCACCTTAAGGACAAGGTGGTAGTGCTTTGGGCCTGCGCGCGGGGGGGGGGGGGGGGGGGGGGGGGGGGGGGGGGGGGGGGGGGGCGCGTTTGTGTGGGGGGGTAATGATGGGACCTAGATAATGAGGGTGTAGGAAAAGTGAAATAAGATAGCAAGTAGTAGATTGAGGGGATTTAGGGAAACTTCCACGGGTTTAGCTAGGACAAGTGGCGATTGAGGGTTGGGACAGCAAAGGAATTAGTTAGGAGGAGAGAGAGAGAGAGAGCGCTAGAGGATAAAAAGAGAGGGAGACAGATTAGGCGAGAAGATATATGGAAATTGGGAGAGCTAACCCTCAAAGTTAGCAAGGGAGGAGCGGCCCTCGAAGTCCACACTATCTTTGTTTCTCTTTTTGGTTTTCTTTGTTCTTTTGGCTGTTGTTGGATGGTGTTTTGGCTGTTTATCATCTTGTATCTCTTTTGTTGATTATCACTATATAATATAATTATATATATATAAATATCATTCTCTGGATATTTGGTTGCTGGTTCTGATTATTATTCTGGGTTTAATTGGCTGTTGTCTGTTAGTGTTAACTGTTTGGGTGGGTTTTTGGAGAGGTTCCCATCAATATCCTAGAATAAAGTGGCCAAAATTAGCAAGTATGGGAAAAAAATGGTTGAAGGCCAACTCAGCCTAAAATATAAAGGCTCCACATAAAAAGAACCTGTTAAAGAAACCAAACATTTTACTACAGTAAGTATCAGAAAACCTATGCATACATTATCAAGTAGGAGGAAGATACAGAAATCTTCATAACTCTGAGCTGCAGTCAACAATGGATACAGTAAGCAAAATGTATGTGATAATCAGCAGCAATTACCAACAAAAAAAAAAAAAGAAACCAAAGTTCATTGGAAATTGACACAGATACTAAAGGAGCATTATGCATAAAAGTTAAAGAAATTTTTGACTACTGCTATGGTAATCAAATGGGAGACCAAAAGGGAAAAGAAACCTTTCCTCAGTCCGTTGTCAAATCAAACGGAGACCAAAAGGGAAAAGAAAACCTTTCCTCAGTCCATTGTCTTGCTCCAGAAACATATTTATGTTAGCAAAAACACTACAATTTTTCAAAGATGGTATTCAGGTTCATATAGAAGTTTGTTACATGGCATAAGCACAACCACCATTACACTTTCTATCAAAACTCAGTCTCAAAGGTCATTGCAAATTGAAAGAGAACAGACAGCCAAAAGGTCATATATTACATACAAATACAGTTCTAGGCTAATATATTCTATTATCTCCATTCACAGTCCACAAGAATGCAAGAACTACTTTTACCACTCATCAACAAACTGTAAATCCTAGTAAATAATAGGCATGGTTCTTATGCAGCCTAACTCTACAGATCTTACCAAGTTAATTGCAAAAACTAAACAAATATTTATTGCATAATAAGTTTATAGAGCCTCCTAAAAGAAAACCAATATAAACACATACTAGGAAGGATGTTGTTGTGAGGACTGAAACACCAGTTAACATCCTTGGGAGCAGTCACCAGCAATAGAATCATTTTCCCAAGAAGTGTCAGCGGTAATGGTTTGAAGCGGAGTCAGACACTATAAAACGAATCTAGAATACCAAGAACTAATCAACAGTTGTAACACTAAAATACGATTTTCGTTGGTGCCATATATTACCAAATCGGGTTCCAGCTCTAGAACAGGATTCTACTCCAAATTTCAGTCCAAAGATTCCATCAACTATGGTGGAGTTAAATTACCCTATTACCTTTGACAATCAGAAAGAAAATTCAATCAATACGACCAAAGAGATACTTTCCTTGGATCCACAAATTTACTTACGAACCTATCGCCAAAGTATGGCCAATCATCACTTGACTGAAACATTACAGCTAGCATGTTCCCCTTCTATGCAAGATACTTTTATGGGTCAAATAACAACAAATTAATGAAATAAGCCTCAATGGGATTCCACATATTGAAATTAACCATAAAGGTCCTTGCACTTGTACATTTAGGTACCTATCCGGCATTAACCATAAAAAAACTCAAGACACCAAAGTGAACTCAATCCAGACCATTTTGGGAGACCATCAAGAAACAATATTTCAGACTAACAAAACCATAACATCTAAACACGTGATGAACAATACACATAACCTTCGAAACTTCAATGATTCCGTTTACTTGTACTAAATGATCAAACACATCAAAACAAGATCATAAACATAAGCCTCTTGCAGAAACATAGTAAATGTAGGAGTACCGTCTTTAAGAGGAGCAACGCATTCGTAAGAGATCTCGAACTGAAACGGACTCGAGAACGGCGCCGGATTGTCCAAAACGGTGACGTTAGTAATATTCACAGCACTCATTGTCTGGAATACCGAAAAATCAACTTATTTGCAAGTAATTTTATGTACCAACCAATGGAAACTGGGAGTTCCACAACCTTCATCGAACACTCACAAGGGAGCAAACCAAAATAAAGGAGAGCAAAGAAACAATGGAAAGTATTTTCAAAATGCAGACTTTGTTTACTTGAATTGTTCGAATTGGGGATTGGGATCTGAAATGTAAAAAAACCCTAAAACGAATTAATGGTTGTTTAAAAAAATAGAGAAAAACGGGAAAAGTGTTGTTGGAAAACAGTTTGAGTGGGTGTGACAGTAATGTGAGTTTTTTATTGGTACGGGATGTGGAGAATTGGCGGGAGATTGTTTGAAGGGTTGAAGTTGAAGGAACAAACGGTTTAAATGGGGGAAAACTTTGAATGAAGGGATTTCAAAAACTTTCAATTTAGGGCTCAATTCAGAAAGAAAGTAAAGGCGTGTTTTGAATAATAATTCCATTCTAATTTTACAAATTTTTTATGTTATTTTCACTAGAATGTGTAGGTCCCTTCAATAAATATTATGAGGTCAATATCATTTATTATTTTTATATTTTATAAATATTATTATTTATTTCAAATCTCTGAATAATTGATTATTGTTTTTATTGTCATTTCATTTGGTGCATTAATATGTGAAAATTAGAATAACTAATAATAAAGTTAACAATTGCTTCCTTTTTTCTTCTTATTATTATTATTTGAAACTTTCAGTTGAATACTTTTAAATTAATTTTTATTGATGAAACTCAAATTTATAGGCCAAACCCTTTTTTCACCAGTATCGATGACCTAAATTAACATGGTTTTATGATGGTGAAAGCGTAGAAAAGTTCAATGTCGTATTTAAGAAAGTTGTTTGTCTCCTCTTGAGGAAAGAAACAATAATGGTTTTAACAATTGAAGACCAATAATCTTGTGATCAAATTCAACTTTTTGAGTGGTGAGAGAGCTTTAGTTTAGTCTTTCCCAATTACAATAATGCAAGTTTGAAGCTCCAAAGGATAAAATAATCAAAAAAGCTAAAGTCTAGAACAGCATAAACTTAGCATCGCTCTCACAGTTTTAGACTCACACTTCAAAAATATATTCTTCAAAATAGCTGGACAGCTAAAGTCTGCACATCTTCTGCAAAGCTTATTCCACTTTGATAAACTTCAATTATAATACCCATTTTACCTCAACAGATATTAAAATAGGCATTGAATATATTGCATATGATTATACAATTTTACAAAGCCACTGCATATTTCATAACCAAACCTGCATTATCCTGTACAACCAAAACTTTACTACACTGTACAACAAATTTTTTGTGCTAACAACAGCTTGTTTGATAATCATAGGCAACATTTAGGCTTTGACAGTCACGTCCATCTTCCGAGTCTGAGATTGAAACAATTCAGCTATATCTGTAGATGTGCTACATTCCTCCGGATTTCTATCAGGTACAGTGCGTATGAATCTAGGAAATCTGATTGAAATGCCACGGGATGGATGAACCAGGCCTATAGCAGCCTGGTGAACTGGTGACACTGTAAAATCTGCACCTCTTATTTCCCAAACAAGTTCCGGAGAGAACCACATATCAGCAACCTCACCTGTTCTGTAGTACGATGGCTTTTTGGATAAGATCTTATCACCAGAAAAAAATTCCTTCATCTGCATGTCCATATAAAAACCGTGGTTATTAAGCTAATGAAGAATATAAAAAAGATTACAAACACCCTCATTTTACCTCGACATAAAAGGAATCAGAGAATCCAGACATAACACGGCACACACTTTGGAATTCCTCAGTCTCAGGGTTGTAACATGCCATGAGGAATGGACTGAACCTGCAATATAGGTAACATGATAAGTAGAAAATACAAAAATTATACATATACAAACACATAAAAAACTCATAATGGTAACATCAGTGATCACAATAAATTATAATGACTATCTATTGCCTTCTCTTTTTTCTTCCAGGTAACTAATATACAACTCTTTTGTAATCTTTATACACCGATAGTACCATGCATCTTCATTTCCCAGCACTTGCTTGAACTCCTAAACTTTTGAAACTTGGTAAAGACACCCTCCAACTAATAGCTGACGTATAGCCCAAACATTCTCAAAAATTCAGTAAAGGAATTTGCTACTACATAGACTACTGCAAAATCAGATTTTGTGGACAGGAAAATAGTGTTCAATCATATGACCACTGGCAAGGTAAAAAAGAGAGAAATGAGATGATAACCATCCTGCTTTCCTCCCATTGCCATGCCAAGCACCAATAGGGACCAGATCAAGAGAGTCATTCAATCCTTCCACATAATCTCGTTTCACCTAAACAGCAAACAACAGTCTCCATCAGTGAAATCATTTTCCTTTCATTGCAGAGGTGGTGAAAGAATCAAATAAACATAAATCACATAAAAACCTTTAACCATGTGTCACTACGCTTTGATGGAGAATATTGAGCATCAATGTCTAAAGATTTAATCATAATCCCTTCACATGAGGAGTGGAGTGCAATTTCAAGAAAATTATTTATCTTAGCTAATGTGACTTCGCTGGTCAAAATAGCATCTTCCGCTTCAACCTGGGAAGCAGGAAAATGTATAAAACACTGGTTACACAAAGATGGTTTATTTCAAAAGGTAAGATTAAAGCACTTACGGTCATTTCTTTTGCATACTCAAAATAACCCAACTTTTCATCACAGAACAAATCTTTCAAGCCTGAAACATTTGGATGTAATTGTCAAAACAGAAAAAAGAAAAAGCTGGATTCAGAACTCCAATATTGGAAGTAAAGAGTCTTTTTAAAAAGAAAATACTTGCAGGCAAGAGGAACTGCCTATCCAGTTAAAAAAGACAATAAATTGCATACATTTTCGTCTCTGACGGAGAGTGTAATCCAACAGCCTGTAACAGAAAACTTGATCAGCTACCTTGTACTTGGAAATAAACACCAATTGTTTACACATGTAAAAACAAAGCCCAAGTTATTTTCTACAGCTTCAAACTGATAGTCAATAATGTGGCAGTACATGGATACAACGACCTTCTATGATTGATTAAAAAAACAATAATCTGGTATTAGACTGATTGATTGACACTGATAACAGATGGGTGATTAACCTAACATAGTATCAATCATTAAGTTCTGAATTTGAGATCAAACTAACTCTTATAGAAATCTTGTGAGAGAAGGTCGGATTTGTAAATTAAAATTCTCTGCATTCAACAATATCTGAAAAATGGAGAAGTATAACCAGCTGTTTCCCATATAACCAGCTGCTTCCCATCATATGGAGTCCCAAGATTAACTTAATATCAGCAATATTAGTATAACCTTTTTACATAAAACAAAAATACTGTTGAGTTACATGTTTGAACATCATTTTTGCAAAACTCATAACAAAAAGAATTCTCTACCATAAAGATCAAAAGGGTCTCTACAAGAATGATGTGTGCTTAAAAATCAAGCTATGCGAATTTTACATAGCTTATGGTGTCAAACTGACACTACATATCAGTTTTGTTTTCTCTGTATGTATGGATGCATGCATGTCAGTGTGTGTGTGTAGACATGCATTTCATTAAAAAAATCAATAGGTCTAGTGTAAGTTCAAGTTAATTACTGCTCTCCATTAGCAAACATTATATCGAACACGAAGACACAAATGTCAACCTGCACAGGGAGAACATCAGAAATCAGATTCAGAATATTAAACAACTTGAGAAGACCACTAAAAAACCAACGTACAGCAAATTCAAGCATAGTTAGGTTAAAAATTTTGTTGAAGCTCTTACTTATTGACAACATTGTAACAACATATCAAACCTTTATGCTAGTCACTGTGATCAAGGAATCTTTGCTCCCCCTCTCTCTTGAAGATAGTTCTTGGAAAGACATGAGCTTGCAGCCATTCTTCCTATCAATAGCAACTACCTGAAACCAAAAGACACTGTTAGATTGTAAATAGAATAATCCAGAAGCAATTAAATCCAATCCTCAAAGAATTAATAAGCCTCTCACTGCGAGAAAATCAGACCTCTGCATCCAGTATGAAAGACTCTGCAGCAGGTTTACAAGATTCCTTAATTATGCTAATTAAATCAGGAAATCTTGCTGTTGTTTCATCCCCATTTCGTGAAAAGATGCGCACAGTGCCATCAGGTGATTTATGAATTTGGGCTCGCTGACCATCATATCTGAAAAATTATACAAATAGAACCAATCCACTGAATAATCTACACTGACTTAGCAAAAATCAAGAGAAAGAAAAACAAGTGTAAGATATTCTACTCAATAGATAAAGAAGCTAATTCTTCTGAAGAAACTCAAACATTAAGGAAATAGAAACAAATATCAATAAAACTGATCTCAATAGAAGAGAAAAAGATAGTAAATAAGAGGAAAGGACGTGTAAAAACCTTAAAACTCCCAACAATGAAGTAACAATAAAATCCAGGAAAAACAATACCACAAATTTCAAGTTGAACAATTTTATCCGATATGCTGGCCAAAATACCAAAAGAGCTCATTATTTACCACTAAGCCTAGGGCTCAATGAAATAGAAATAATTTATAGAACTAGATTGCTAAAGTTTGAATATCACAAGCTAAACGTTCTTGCATCTTACTGATTGTTGAAAAGAATATCAAAATCTTAAGAAACATACCAAAAAGAAACACACACATGAATCTAGAATATACGTTGTTTAAACAAAAGACAGAGGAAAGAGAAATGATAGCAAATGAAAAATATTTAGACCTTTAAAAAATAAATAATCTGAAGCCTCATCACAACTTTGCAGAATGTGTTAATCACTTCAAAATGCCAGATATTTGGTTAAAGCTATAGGAAATAAAATGCCTTCCACAAATATGTTTATGCCATTTAGAGCTCAACACTAATTCTTAAAAAACAATCTTCTTTTTTTTTTTTTTTTTTTTTTTTCACAATATATATCATGTTGCTTGTGAATATAAAGGCAGGGAAGCCATACAGCATCAATTGAAATTCCTTTTTTCTTATATGTATAATTGTCAAAGAATAACAATTGAAGACCAATAATCTTGTGATCAAATTCAACTTTTTGAGTGGTGAGAGAGCTTTAGTTTAGTCTTTCCCAATTACAATAATGCAAGTTTGAAGCTCCAAAGGATAAAATAATCAAAAAAGCTAAAGTCTAGAACAGCATAAACTTAGCATCGCTCTCACAGTTTTAGACTCACACTTCAAAAATATATTCTTCAAAATAGCTGGACAGCTAAAGTCTGCACATCTTCTGCAAAGCTTATTCCACTTTGATAAACTTCAATTATAATACCCATTTTACCTCAACAGATATTAAAATAGGCATTGAATATATTGCATATGATTATACAATTTTACAAAGCCACTGCATATTTCATAACCAAACCTGCATTATCCTGTACAACCAAAACTTTACTACACTGTACAACAAATTTTTTGTGCTAACAACAGCTTGTTTGATAATCATAGGCAACATTTAGGCTTTGACAGTCACGTCCATCTTCCGAGTCTGAGATTGAAACAATTCAGCTATATCTGTAGATGTGCTACATTCCTCCGGATTTCTATCAGGTACAGTGCGTATGAATCTAGGAAATCTGATTGAAATGCCACGGGATGGATGAACCAGGCCTATAGCAGCCTGGTGAACTGGTGACACTGTAAAATCTGCACCTCTTATTTCCCAAACAAGTTCCGGAGAGAACCACATATCAGCAACCTCACCTGTTCTGTAGTACGATGGCTTTTTGGATAAGATCTTATCACCAGAAAAAAATTCCTTCATCTGCATGTCCATATAAAAACCGTGGTTATTAAGCTAATGAAGAATATAAAAAAGATTACAAACACCCTCATTTTACCTCGACATAAAAGGAATCAGAGAATCCAGACATGACACGGCACACACTTTGGAATTCCTCAGTCTCAGGGTTGTAACATGCCATGAGGAATGGACTGAACCTGCAATATAAGTAACATGATAAGTAGAAAATAAAAAAATTATACATATACAAACACATAAAAAACTCATATGGTAACATCAGTGATCACAATAAATTATAATGACTATCTATTGCCTTCTCTTTTTTCTTTCAGGTAACTAATATACAACTCTTTTGTAATCTTCATACACCGATAGTACCATGCATCTTCATTTCCCAGCACTTGCTTGAACTCCTAAACTTTTGAAACTTGGTAAAGACACCCTCCAACTAATAGCTGACGTATAGCCCAAACATTCTCAAAAATTCAGTAAAGGAATTTGCTACTACATAGACTACTGCAAAATCAGATTTTGTGGACAGGAAAATAGTGTTCAATCATATGACCACTGGCAAGGTAAAAAAGAGAGAAATGAGATGATAACCATCCTGCTTTCCTCCCATTGCCATGCCAAGCACCAATAGGGACCAGATCAAGAGAGTCATTCAATCCTTCCACATAATCTCGTTTCACCTAAACAGCAAACAACAGTCTCCATCAGTGAAATCATTTTCCTTTCATTGCAGAGGTGGTGAAATAATCAAATAAACATAAATCACATAAAAACCTTTAACCATGTGTCACTACGCTTTGATGGAGAATATTGAGCATCAATGTCTAAAGATTTAATCATAATCCCTTCACATGAGGAGTGGAGTGCATTTTCAAGAAAATTATTTATCTTAGCTAATGTGACTTCGCTGGTCAAAATAGCATCTTCCGCTTCAACCTGGGAAGCAGGAAAATGTATAAAACACTGGTTACACAAAGATGGTTTATTTCAAAAGGTAAGATTAAAGCACTTACGGTCATTTCTTTTGCATACTCAAAATAACCCAACTTTTCATCACAGAACAAATCTTTCAAGCCTGAAACATTTGGATGTAATTGTCAAAACAGAAAAAAGAAAAAGCTGGATTCAGAACTCCAATATTGGAAGTAAAGAGTCTTTTTAAAAAGAAAATACTTGCAGGCAAGAGGAACTGCCTATCCAGTTAAAAAAGACAATAAATTGCATACATTTTCGTCTCTGACGGAGAGTGTAATCCAACAGCCTGTAACAGAAAACTTGATCAGCTACCTTGTACTTGGAAATAAACACCAATTGTTTACACATGTAAAAACAAAGCCCAAGTTATTTTCTACAGCTTCAAACTGATAGTCAATAATGTGGCAGTACATGGATACAACGACCTTCTATGATTGATTAAAAAAACAATAATCTGGTATTAGACTGATTGATTGACACTGATAACAGATGGGTGATTAACCTAACATAGTATCAATCATTAAGTTCTGAATTTGAGATCAAACTAACTCTTATAGAAATCTTGTGAGAGAAGGTCGGATTTGTAAATTAAAATTCTCTGCATTCAACAATATCTGAAAAATGGAGAAGTATAACCAGCTGTTTCCCATATAACCAGCTGCTTCCCATCATATGGAGTCCCAAGATTAACTTAATATCAGCAATATTAGTATAACCTTTTTACATAAAACAAAAATACTGTTGAGTTACATGTTTGAACATCATTTTTGCAAAACTCATAACAAAAAGAATTCTCTACCATAAAGATCAAAAGGGTCTCTACAAGAATGATGTGTGCTTAAAAATCAAGCTATGCGAATTTTACATAGCTTATGGTGTCAAACTGACACTACATATCAGTTTTGTTTTCTCTGTATGTATGGATGCATGCATGTCAGTGTGTGTGTGTAGACATGCATTTCATTAAAAAAATCAATAGGTCTAGTGTAAGTTCAAGTTAATTACTGCTCTCCATTAGCAAACATTATATCGAACACGAAGACACAAATGTCAACCTGCACAGGGAGAACATCAGAAATCAGATTCAGAATATTAAACAACTTGAGAAGACCACTAAAAAACCAACGTACAGCAAATTCAAGCATAGTTAGGTTAAAAATTTTGTTGAAGCTCTTACTTATTGACAACATTGTAACAACATATCAAACCTTTATGCTAGTCACTGTGATCAAGGAATCTTTGCTCCCCCTCTCTCTTGAAGATAGTTCTTGGAAAGACATGAGCTTGCAGCCATTCTTCCTATCAATAGCAACTACCTGAAACCAAAAGACACTGTTAGATTGTAAATAGAATAATCCAGAAGCAATTAAATCCAATCCTCAAAGAATTAATAAGCCTCTCACTGCGAGAAAATCAGACCTCTGCATCCAGTATGAAAGACTCTGCAGCAGGTTTACAAGATTCCTTAATTATGCTAATTAAATCAGGAAATCTTGCTGTTGTTTCATCCCCATTTCGTGAAAAGATGCGCACAGTGCCATCAGGTGATTTATGAATTTGGGCTCGCTGACCATCATATCTGAAAAATTATACAAATAGAACCAATCCACTGAATAATCTACACTGACTTAGCAAAAATCAAGAGAAAGAAAAACAAGTGTAAGATATTCTACTCAATAGATAAAGAAGCTAATTCTTCTGAAGAAACTCAAACATTAAGGAAATAGAAACAAATATCAATAAAACTGATCTCAATAGAAGAGAAAAAGATAGTAAATAAGAGGAAAGGACGTGTAAAAACCTTAAAACTCCCAACAATGAAGTAACAATAAAATCCAGGAAAAACAATACCACAAATTTCAAGTTGAACAATTTTATCCGATATGCTGGCCAAAATACCAAAAGAGCTCATTATTTACCACTAAGCCTAGGGCTCAATGAAATAGAAATAATTTATAGAACTAGATTGCTAAAGTTTGAATATCACAAGCTAAACGTTCTTGCATCTTACTGATTGTTGAAAAGAATATCAAAATCTTAAGAAACATACCAAAAAGAAACACACACATGAATCCAGAATATACGTTGTTTAAACAAAAGACAGAGGAAAGAGAAATGATAGCAAATGAAAAATATTTAGACCTTTAAAAAATAAATAATCTGAAGCCTCATCACAACTTTGCAGAATGTGTTAATCACTTCAAAATGCCAGATATTTGGTTAAAGCTATAGGAAATAAAATGCCTTCCACAAATATGTTTATGCCATTTAGAGCTCAACACTAATTCTTAAAAAACAATCTTCTTTTTTTTTTTTTCACAATATATATCATGTTGCTTGTGAATATAAAGGCAGGGAAGCCATACAGCATCAATTGAAATTCCTTTTTTCTTATATGTATAATTGTCAAAGAACATACTCTCTTTTTCTTTTTAATGGGGAACAGTACAAGATTGTATTGCATACTCTTAAATCAGCAAATGCTATAACCATCAGGAACTACAGAAAAGTTGATCTGCTGAAGTTAATAGATCTCAAGTCTAACGGTTTCAGAGTTTCTCAAAATTATATCCAATGGATAGAATTATATCCATTTTTTTTTTGGGGGGGGCGCGGCAACTTGTGCTTCACAGGTAAATGTTGCATATCTCCTTTTGTAGATAAAATCCACGGAGATATAATAAAATGTCACCACAGCAAAGACTCAAAGACTTGTAGCAATACAGAGAAAATGACATTAACAACTAAAAGGTATATTGCAGGTGTTAAAAGGCCAAATTTTAATTATTCATCATCTGAAAATCGTATTTAAAAATCAAAAGCAACTTTGAGGGTATAAATAAGCACAAGTTGGATAACATAATTTTGTTTAAGAGGGGAACTCACTTGTATTCACATGTAAAAGCTTTATTTTGGAAGAGCTTTAGCACTTGTGGAACTCCATTGGTAATTCTACCACAGAAAACACCATAATAATCAGGCATAAGTATACCCAGTCCAGATCTTCAGAATATGATATAATTAAGCTTGCAAGCAATCATAAATATTTATACTTTGCAAGCATGGGCTTGATAGGTACTCCTGGAACCATCGACAAAGCTGATGATGAAAATCCAATGCCTTTGCTCATGAGAGAGGGAATGATCAAATCCTGTTAACGGTGGGAACAAAAGAGTGTTTGTTACATGGCACACATGGGTAGCATCTTAAGCTATGCTAGTATCATGGCAAACTTATTCAGGATTAAATGAGACAAGTCCCCCAAGTAGAAAAAAGGAAGAGAAGGATCTGAAAAATAAAGCAAAATCTAGCATGTCAAATATGGGAAGATTCAAGATAACAAAATATGAAAGCAGAACAAATTCCTCAAGAATAAAATGAAAATGAACACAAGCAGGGTGAAAACATAAACTTCATTTTGATTAGAATAGTTATTTCTAATTTATAGTAAGCTATTAAATAAATCCTCATTTGGTGTGACCCTTTACCTGAGCTAAGCTGTAACGCTTCTTCTCTAGAAAACAAATAACCAGTAAACAGACTGGCAAAGAAACATTACAAATGACAGTCATAGAAGCAAAGGAGCAAACCAACACAATGCATCAGGATAAATTTTTTATAAAAAAAATACTTTGGAACCCATCTACCCACTCTCACCCATTCTCATATCTCCTTTGTTCTCTCTAAAACTTTTCTCTCAGACTTCACCACACTCTTTTCCCACTTTAAATAACTAGTGTCCTCCACTTAAAACCTTAAGAGATTCTTGCCTTTTTGCATGCAAAACACTGCTATTATTAGTGGTTCAGGAACCTCCACCAAACAGATCAGATTGAGCACTTCCTGGTTATTCAGCTCATGATATTTGCCTTAATCATTTGTATTGTTTTTGTTGTTTTTTCAGAAATTTGTGCTTTGCTCCACATTTAAGCTTCTGTTTATTATGGTGCTTCACTCCAGCGGGTTAAAACATTCTTCCTATTAACAAATGCACAGACACATCTATTCTTTTAATAACACCCACAAACCACTCAGTGCACACACTGTTAATTATTGGGACACTACTAGACTCTATGACTCAGGGATCCAGGAACTACAATACCCTACGACTCTGGGATCCAGAAAGTTGTAATTATAGTATCAAATGTAGGTGCTTCAAAGAGACCGTGAAAATCTGGCCTTCTGGTTGGAATTTGTTAGCAAGCTAACTAAGTATCGGAAAGGCATGAATAGAACAGTACAAAGAACTTCAGTGTCAATTACAAGAAAACTTACCAAACTGGGAAGTATATTATAAGCTTCAACCGCTGCTGCAGAAAGGCACTAACAAATAACAGAAAAATATTATATTGAACAAAGTATTTTACCAAAAAAAAAAAATAAATAAATAACTAAGTTGCTTAAAACACCCACATCCATACGTACAGAAACTGAGGGAGTTCACAATATGAAAAACTGTTTACATAATTCTATTCAGAAAAGTGGTCCAACATTAAACTAAAACTGATATATTCAATACAGCAGACTATCTTACAAAGACGGTCAATGTATTCCAAAGGAAATAGGACTTGAAAGCATCTGCATATTTTAAAAATAGAAATCAAACCTGAAGCTTCTCCTTTAAATTATCTGCTCTTCCTTCGAGAAAGTTAAGGGAGGAGTTCATAACAATAGCTTGAGCCAATGCAGGCAAAATAGTTCTCATCATTGCTCCAATACGTAAATTCCTGACCTAAATGAAAATTATATTCATAAACTGGGTCTCTTCAACAAAATAGCTTAACACTCTAAAAAACTCAAGAAAATCTCCTGCCATCAACATATTACACAAATAATGTTCTTTGGCTTTATTAGAGATAAACATATTGCTTTGGGAGGCAGAAGGAAAACTGTTGTGTCATGGTAATTTTTGGTTCTAAGGCTGGAAACAAATAGGAGAATTTTAAAGATATAAATGGGTAAGATGTCTTGTCTATGTAGACTAAAGTATAATTTTAGGCTTCTCTTTGGGTGTCCATTATTATAGATTTATTAAACACAATTGGGAAGCTTCATTTGCCTAACTAGAGAAAGATTTTTGTGTAGATTTTGAGTAAGGGTCTTTGATGTTTTAGAATCGGAGCCACGTTATACATCTTTTGTAGTTTATGGAACCTTCGGGGGCTCTTGGGACAGCTTGTCTTTTTCTGAGGGGACACTTGTCCATTGTACATTTTTTCGTTCTAATATATGATTTCTAACTTTTCCCAAAGAGGAAAAAAAAAAAAAAAAAAGGTACATATCACATTCGTAAGAACCTCAATTCTCCAACGAAGTTATTAAAATACTAAAAGGAAATCAAACATCTTACCAAAGTTCTAACAAGAAACTTGATCTCTTTTTCTCTACAAGAACACATGAGATTCACAATAAGACTTTTCTTTCGTCCAGTACTTCCACTGCCTGTTTGTACACTGATGAATACTTTATAAGCAAATGCAATAGAAAATAACCAATAGAATGACGAGCTTCCTTGCAAAATCAGTATCTCAAGTCTAATATAACAGTACAATTATTAAATGTCACTCTCCAAATCTGAAATATTACAAAAACATTAGAGAAAAGTTAAGATAACCTACTTGTAAATAATACCCCAATACTAACTAGTTTAGATTTGCCAGACATCTTTCCAGAAGACCCTTTTTCACATATAAATTTGATGAAAAACATCTCTCCAGGATAGCTCTTCTGTTGATGATTTGACAGTACATAAATAGAACGATGTAAAAAAAAAATGCAAGTAAGATATCATTTCATATGGGGTAGAATTTGATTTCTATCTTCTTGTTGGACCATATCTCAGAAAAGTTTCAAGATATTTCTTTCTTATTTATTCACCTAAACTAGGAAGGGATTTGAGTATACTTTGTAAATTTTGGAAATTTTTTCCATTCAGTGGTAAAGGTAGAGGTGATCCCTGTTCTGAGAGATTCTGAATTTGGAGCTATCACACACACATATGTATCCCTGTGCAATGCCTGGAATTTTTTGGGTAGCCTCTTCAATTTTTGTACATCTCCCTTCATATTAATAGGCATTTCCTTCACTTTTGAAAAATAAAAAATATACTATTTTTCAGTGTATGCATATTTCATAGGGTGGTTCAGAAGATGAGCTTCACAAAAACTAAAATCTTTTGCTCATCACCAAATTAACAAATGGCAAAATTTGTTTTCTCATTTGTTAAGCTGTGATATATGATGCTCTACTATTTTTTACATATAAAGAATTCATACATGACAACTAAAGCTCCGTAAACTTTAAATTCACCCTACGTACTAACACCTTATCTACAAAAATGAGTTGCTCAAGTCCTGCTCAAATACCATGTTACAAAACCTGGCCATGACACTTGACTGATCAAGAGTATCATCAATTATAGATCAACTATGAAATATTCCTAATGCCTTCAAAAGACAATCATAACATGTAGTCAAAGCATCAAACTCTTACGTTCATACTCCGCCATTAACCAAAAACCAAATTGGAATATGCATACCTTATCTTACGAAGCACCAAATATACATCTTTAACAAGAAGTGGAGAAGGAGGAGCAAGTAAAGTTTGTGTTTGTCGGCATTCTTGAGCAACATCACCTTTAACCATAAAAGATTTTCTATTTAGCAGACTATTTTGGGTTAATAAGAAAATAAGTCAATCAAAGAACAAAAGTCATAATAATCACCATCAGTTCCTACCAAGGTCGCCTAACCTATTGTACATATCCCTAATTTTAGACCGGTTAGTCCCACATGCCTCTTCTAGTGCTGATGTCACCAAACTTCCACCAATGTTTAGTTCCTGCATCATTTTTTGCAAAATAATTACATAGAACACTAAAACCCATATAAAACAATATTTCTTGCCCTGTGATCACATAGTCCTATACCATATTTGTCTAAGCCATGTATTATGCATCATTTAAAGCCATTATGAGAATATTGAAAAAGGAAGAAAGCATATGGACACTATGGAAAAGAGTGAAGCAAAATTTATAGTTTCAAAAATTCTCAAATTAATTAAGTTGTGTCAAAAAAAATTACCTCCACTTAGTCTAAGTGAAGTACAGGGTACAACTTAAATAAAAACAATCAGTCCAACTCAAAAATAATAATAATAATAATAATAATAAAAATTCCTAATCCAAATAACTATAATACAAATCTAAATTGGATAAATAAAACAATGTAACCAACTACAATATCAAGAAGATAAATATTCATAGATAATACCTAGAATCTAGACATACATAAGTATGCAAATCCTTTAAAAGATCTCCAACAAGAATTAGTTGCAAAATTACTTTTATTTTGGCTTTGCTAAACTATCTAATATGATGACCTACATAAAAGTAGTAAATTTATTTGGTACCAACAGGATTAATTTAGACAATTTATACAATATATCCTTGTTTTAAATTGAAAAAAAAATCACCTAGAAAATGCTCGACATGTAGCCACTCCTCATCTTTCAAAGAAAAGAGAGCATGTCAAACTGCACTTGTTAGAACAGATACGTAGTATGGGAAAAAATCGGTGCACCAAAATTATGCAAAACAAGATTCCATATAGTTCAAATATACGTAAACCAAGACATTTCACTGTAACTTCAATTCAAGTGAATTCAGTCATTGTATCATTAATCAAAGATGCCTATTCTTTGAATATTAGCCCAGAATAAAGATAGTAAAAATTAAAAAACGATCACGTCAAAGCTTTTTGCATGATGAAAAACTTTTAGAACTTGGGAGGCAGGAGTTGTTTAAGAAACAAAATAAATAAGAACTAAAAACAATCACAAAGATGAAAGGAAGATAATTACTAACAATATTTTCATGGTCAGCAGCGATCTTATTTGTACACAGATACACAGCAGGCAGCACATCTTCAGGTGACAAAGCCAGCAAACTGTGATTAAAAAGAAAAAAAACATTGCAAGAAAGTGGCATGCCACATTGAGCAAATATACAATGTAAATATGTAACCCCTTAATCCATACTGAAAAATAGGCAAGTTGAAGAGAAGAAAAGGAGAAAGAATTTGCAGCGACACACCTTCTAAACATATTGCATAACATGAACATGGCTTTTATCTTGCCTTTTTCAGCCTCAACCAGATCAAACGTTCGTGCAAGGTGAATGTATGGAGCGGACTGACCACTCCTCCAGCATGCTGCATATGTATCCCACTATTATGCAGAATTCTCATTATTTAGAAATAAATATTAATATAATGAATTTAGAAAAGTAATGTTAGATTAAGGGGACACAAACCATGCTCTATAGGATTATATTTTTCAGGCAGTAGTGACACAAGAGTTGAATCCATAGGTTCTTTTGATGGTCTCTGAACAGTCATATCTGACATATGTTCCAATCCCTCAGTCTCAGGCACATTTTTCTCCAGGGTAGAAAAGCAGTCTTTAGTAGAAGATTGGGAAACTGAATTTCTCAACCTCTCTGCTTTCTCACCAAGATTACCCTCATGATTACCATAGTATAAATCCAGGGCCATATTAATATTTCCCTCTGTCTTCTCTAAGAGGGTGGCAGCATAACTCCTTGAGGATTCATTGCCATTTATTATTTTAATGAACTGATCTATATCCTCTCCGTATGATTTGGTAGCTTCACTTGGCAAAGCAGTTTCATGTTCAGGGCTTTGCTCTGACTTCGGTTCAACCCCACCACCATGAGACGTGATAGGCAAACGTTTATTGAAAAAACTTGTGATCGTAGATTGCCTTGGTCCACTAGATTCAATTTTTGCAGTCTTCTTTACTTTTTTGTTTGGCTTACTGGTAATACTTTTCTTCCTTTTGCCCGGAGAAACGCTGCTCTTAATTGACTGTTTTGCATTAGGAGACTTGAAGCCTTTACCCAGAAGATTGCTCACACTAGGTTGAGGAATGCTCTTAACAGTATCTAGTTTTATAGCTGACACAGAAACATTCAGTGAGTTGGTCTCGGATGCAGAAACAGAAGCTGTGCAGGCAGCTACTTGCTCATAAAATTCAGTTTCATGTTCATAGAAATTAGAAACTGCATCAACAATGTTCTTTCCTGAGTTGCTAATCAAATCCAACATTAAGTTCCGAGTAACCCATGCAGGTAAACAATCACAAAGTTCCTGCACCATTTTCTCTATTTCCTCATCATCTTGCACAGAAAGATCCTGTAAGCCAGGTTCTTCCAAACAAGATGAGGAATCCAACAATGCACCTGAATTGTTATTATCAACAGCTTTCATTTCATGTGACTTCCCCCCTTCCTCTTTGCCTAGCCCCTCATTTAAGCAAGGGCCACCACCCACTTCATCTTTGTGATCAATTTCATGGGCCCCACGCTGGAAACCCATTAAAAATTCTTTCTTGTTAGCCGTTTCATCAACCAATCCAGCAAAATACTTTCTCATCTTATTAGCATGCTTGCTGTCAAGCTTCTCAATATCCATGCCGACAGTAGGTATAACCCGCTTCGGTTTCAAAAACTTTACATACTCCCTAAGTTCATCATAATTTGAATGCTCACTATATGGCACAAGATGTATCTCAAAGGAATCCTTAGACCTCACTGCAAATTTATTCCGCTTTACTTCATACGTCCACCCTGTTGGCACAAAACCAACAACCTTAGCATATCCTCTTTCCACCATAATCTCCTGCATTCTCACAAAATTTGGCCGAAAATATGGCCAAGTCTCCCCCAACACATTCCATCCAACAACATGAACATCACTCTCACTCTCATCCGGCGTAAAAACACCATTTTCCTCATACCCCAAAACCCGCAAAACCTCCATTTTCCTTGCATCCACTATTATCTTCCTATTACATTTTCTTGAAACTTCAAGCAAAATCTTTTCTTTACCAATCACATAAGTCGCAATAAGAAACAGAACATTCTTCCCCAAAGCATTACTACATTCACCTCCAATTCTCTTAATCACATTTACTATGTACTCAACACTCTCTTCTTGCGAAGGAAACACGAATTTCGGATTACAATAAGTAGTGTCCAAGAAAACCCCATCACAACCCACAAATTCACTCATCACAGGCTCTAAAATCATAGCTTTGCAAAACCGAAAGTCACCCGTATGAACATACCTCTCGAAACGGTCATTCTTGCAAGGAACCTTGAACAAGAACTGGACAGCACCAGGGCAATGATTGGCCTCAACAAGCACAACCTCACAATCATCAATCACGACACGTTCTTGAATAGGCAATGCAAATACAAACTTGGGTTCAACCTTAAGTACCTGAATAAGAAGTCTAGAAGTAATATCAGAGCAAAAAATGATGCCTTTGGACCAAGAAGGGGAAAGACCGGTGTAGTGATCAGAGTGAAAGTGGGAGAGAAAGTAAGAGACGGAGAAATCGGAGGCGTGACGGAATGCGTCGATGAGAAAGCGGGTTTTGGGGATGTGTTTGGAGGGAGGGAAAGTGGATGGAATAGGAGGAAAAGTGAGGAAATTAGAAGGGGAGGATTGGATGGTGAGGAAGAGATGGGTTGAGTCTAGGGTTAGGGTTTTGTTGGAGGGAGTGTGAGACGCCATGAAGATGAGAGTGCGTTAGGGATTGAAGAGTTAAAAGGGAAGCATTTTGATTGATTATCAGCGTCAGTGAGAATGCAAATGAAAACTAGCAATGTGGAGTTTTCATTTTGTAGTTGCAGAGGCTTTCCATTACAAGTTTGGGGAAGTCGGATGGCGCCAAAGGTTGTCACTTAGACATACAGGGATGGAAACGGGCCGGATACGGTTGGGGTGATCCACCCAGACCCGGAACCTTCAAATAAAATATGGGCTTTTTTTTTCCCTAGGATTTCCTTATTATGGTTCTCACTTCTCCAGCTCCTTCCCTTTTTTTTTTCTTTTTTTTTTTTTTTGCCAAGAGTGTCCTAGTCAGTTTGTGTATACCTCAATTAATACTTCGGGATCCTAAAATTGACAATCGGCTAAATCCCCTTAGTAGTCATTCCTATTAGCAAACCAAATAGATCAAACTCAGGATTTCTTGAATAATATACCCAAGAGCATGGTTTTAAAACCCAGTCCGGCCAGTTAAATCGGTTCGATCGGGAACCAGTGGCTAGATTGCATCGGTTCATGTAAAAAATTGAAAATAGCATTTGACCTGCTTCCACCTACGGATGTATACGAGCCGAGCCAAGCCGAATATCTCGATACTCGAGCTCGGCTTGTGATGAACAGTAGCGAGCTCGAGCTCGAGCTCGAGCTGAGCTTAGTCGAGCTTCAATATTCGTGTTCAAGCTCTAGCTCGCGAGTATGAAGTTGCACTCGAGCTTGAGCTCAAACAAGCTCGAGCCTAATCAAGCTCGGTATAGTTATAAATTACTGTATGTCAGCAATATATATACATATATATCACTTGTCATCTCATTTTCTCTTTCTTCTTTTCACCTATCACCTCATTTTTTTTATTTTCTCTTTCTCCCCTCATTTTCTCTTTCTTCTTCTCACCTGTCACCTCATCTTTTTTTTCTCTCTTTCTCCCTGTCCTCTTCTCTTTCTGCCTTATTCTCTTCTCTTTCTTACTTCTTCAGATCTTCTTCTTCATCTTTTTTTTTTTTTTTCTTTCTCCCCATCCTCTTCTCTTTCTTCTTTACTTCTTCCATATTCTCTTCTCTATTATCACCTCCTCTTCTCTTTCTTCTTCTGCTTCTTCAGATTTTCTCCTTCATTATTTTTCTTTCACATTGTAAGCTCGAATGGAACCAAAGATGAATTGTTGATGCATGATTTTGACACCAACTAAACGCACATGTGAAGTGCTGAGCTGGCTCAGAAGACACACGCAGATGGGGGTAATGAAATAAGTAAGAGGTGGAGAAACAATGTTTTAAAGTGGTTCGGATGCTTAAGCAAGCGACTCCTACGTCCACTGATATTGTATTAATATGGAGGGTCAGGTCGTGTTTAGCGAGCTGACTTGCAAGTGATTACAAGAGAGAGAATAAGCTATTACAGAGTAAAATGAGCCAATACCACAAACGGGAGAGGAGCTCTCTATTTATAGTGGGATGAATTGGAGTAATGATTACAGAATTCGTAAAAAGAGGGTAGATATCGTGCAAATCCTTCTTTGCGTCCCGTTGCTCACCCACTCGAGTGATTTCCTCGTTCAGCATAGGGGTTGGACACGTTGACGGCCTCCAGCCTTTCGTTAATCTAACAAGCACCCACCACACTGGCAGGAGCATGTTGCTCACGCCAACATGTGACATGGATGCGTCTGAACGGCTGTAGGATCTGCCTAGACTCTGATCATTTATGCTGACCGGGCTCTACGTCACCCCTACTTTTTCAGGCATAACAGAAATCCCCTAGTTTTTAAGGTTTAAAGATCAAACCTTGGAAACTACATAATTATGCCTTGATTTGATGACTTCGAAAAGGTGATGGTTGACTCGACTTGCTTGCAAAGAGGTCGAGAACATATTTCAACATAGGCGACCTGAAATGATCTTCGCTGTAAGGTCAACAACCTGACTTTAGATCGTACTCATTGCCATAACGATGATGCTGACCTGGACTAATTTCCGCGACCTAATTACACTTGGCTAGTTTCGTTAAGAACAAAGAATTACGTTGCTCCGCAACTGATGTTCGTTGAGGTCGAGGGGTCACGTCGCTTCGCTACTTACAAGACGAAGAGTCTTTTTCATAACGACCTCTTCAGATGTTTTCCGTTGTGCTTTTGCTGTAGGTGCATTTAATGAAATACCTTCTATTCTGACAGACGTGCCTTATGCGCAATAAATGCCAGCCATGCACATTAAATGCAAGTCATGCTGAAACGACATTCCCTATCAGATTATTAAATGCGGACGTGGGCGCATTTAATGTGGAGGAGGGAGAACGTGTCGTCGCTTGAGTTTTTCAACAGAAAAGAACGATGATTTGGTTTCTTGGGGCACGATGGTCACTCTTCTTTGCTGATTCGCGACACGTGGTCGCGATCAACGATCAGATGCATTTTCCACCCAAACGTCGTTTGACTCTAGGAAACCAAAGCGCCTTTTCCTTCACTATAAAACCCAGGTTCACTTCAGGCAATGTCATAATATTCATCTTCTCAGAGAGAGCAAGAGATTTTCGTGAACTCTGATTCTTTGCCTTTCAAACCGGTGCGCATTTGATATGTGAAGCAGAAGGATTGATCTTCTCATTTAAGGAGGTAAGGATTGTCCCTCTGCTGCTTTTATTATTGCTTTCGGTAGTCGTCATGAGACGATAATCCGTCGGTAGTTGACCGGAGATGAAATATTCTCTTTGGGATTAAGCCATCAATGGTGGCTCTAAAAGTATTCTGTTAGGGTTTTTCTAGGGTTTAAGGGAGGAAATATTTATTGTTTCCTTCCACATCATTGTACAGAATAGTGTACGAGGACTGAACGATTCCCTGCTTGTCGCTTTTGCAGACCACAGTAGAATGGACCCCCTAACGACCAGAGCTGAGGAAAGGACTAGTTCATCTGCGCAGGATGCTCCTGCGGGTCCCCCTCAAGAGATCCTGTCGGTGCTTACCAACGAAGAGCTTCAAAGGGTGATAGACCAATACATTATCAACGTGGAGGTCTTTCGAGACAGGACACGCGCAGCTCGGAATCCACCACGAGGGTTGGCCACGATTTCCGAGGATATTTTCAAGGGTAGGGGGTTGATCCCTTTCCACCCCTTTGTCAGGTCGATCCTTGACCATTTCAGGATCGCACCCTTGCAGCTCACAACGAACGCGTACATGATAGCCGTGGCCATGTACATCGCGTGTCGTGAAAACACATTAGGTGAGCTAATCGCGCTAGAGCTCGGTTGCTCGTATATCCTGAAAAAGAGTAAGGACAAAGATTCCTACTACCTTTCTAGGCGAACTACCATTGGAGCGGGAATGCACAGTTACCCGAGCAATGCAGGGACGTATGAGACGAAGTTCTTTTTCTTTTGTTACGACAGCCTTTGCTATTTCCAAGATCCGAGTAGGTTTTCCTTTTTTATAGCTTAGCGAACTCTTTTGGTCTTCAGTAACGAGCTCTTATTTTCTTTGTGGTTAAAAAAACGACTAGTTTAGAGGTCCTCGTGGATCCGGACAGGATTACTGCCTTCGGCTTTTTGCCCAAAGAAAGTCGCGACGCTAGGTTGCTCGTGACAACCTCAAACTTGCGAAAATATGGCTTCTTCAACTCGGAAGCAACCCTAGAGCCCCTACCGAGTAAGCTTTGTAACCTTGGTTTATTTTTTGATTGTATGTGTAGCGAACTATTTTGCTAACGACGTTCACATGCAGCGACCATGCCTCCAAAGGTGTCCAAATCGCCACGACCGAGGAAGTTCACCTTCCCTAGAGTGGGGGCCACCGGACCAACTGGAGGTGCCCCCACCAATCCCCCCGCCGGAAAGGCGCCGACTGGTGCTTTGGTTTGACCTGCGAGCGCTCCCCAGCCCCCGGATGTTCACCCGAGGCAGAAGACAATGGTTCAATAGCCCAAGAAGAGACGACAAATTCAGACCGAAGAATCAGAGTCCGAACCGAAGGACCTGGGCATTCAGCCCGAGAGGTCATAGGCCTACCAAACATTCTGCTCGGGGGGGCCTGCCAAGGGTGCGACTGGCATCTCCATTGCCCAGGGGCACCCGAACAAGACAGAGCAAGGTCGCAAACCCTAGGAGGAGACCGGGCAAGGAACCAGAAGGCAGCACGACTCTTGCTGGAGGGCGGGCATGGACACTCCTGTGCTTGACTCAATGGGACAACTTCTGGACCATCTGCAATCGGTGGTTTTTACCTTGCTGGAGTGCGGGTTCGCGAAGGCTTTTGAGGAGTTCGTGGCTTCTGGTTATGTGGACCTGATGTCCACATCCATTCAGTACTTGAGCAAGGTAGGACGAGCTGTCCTCGACGAGGACTTTGCTTCGTTTCAGTAGCAAAGAAACTAACTTGTTATTTCTTTTGTTTGTAGGCCTTGCTCTCCATGCAACTTTCCCTACAAAAGGTCCAACTGGGAGTCGCCAAGGGGATGGTCGCGCTGAAAGAAGAGAACACTCGGCTCAAACAGGACTTGGAGGCCACTGAAGCAGAGAAAGACTTATCCACTGCTTCGGCAAACCAGTACCTGAATGAGAGGAACGCTGCTCTTCGCACGGTGGACTTCCAGAAAGTCAAGCTATAGAAGTATGGAGAGGAGATGAAAGAGCTTCACAAGATAGTGGCTAGACTCACCAGGGAGGTTGGCGAGAAAGACCAAGAGCTGAAAACGACGTCTGAGCGGGCCTTGCAAGCAGAGCGGGAGAGGAGCGAGTTGTGGGAGGCCACCGAAAAGCAAAAGCGGGCGCTTGAGGCCGAGCTGCAAGCTAGTTAGGGAAGAGTCACTTCGCTGACTGAAGAGATGCAGCGTCAATGGGCGAAGATCGAGTCGAAGGCTGCTGAATGGGCAATTCAGTCCATCTATGCCCTACAGCCTAAGAATCCCGAATTGAACATGTCCGACCTCCCGGAGGAATACTAGGAAATCCTTAGATCCATAGCGTGACTCTACGATGAGGATGCAGCGGAGGCCGCCCG